AAAGCAGGATGACCAACTGAAGCGGTATAGGGGGCATGACCTTTTGTTGTTTTTCAAAACAGCAAGTATTTTTCAAGAGGTGATAAGACCAACTTAGCTATTAGTTTCAACAAGATTGGCCAGAGTGAACGCGCAGCCATGAGAGCTACCCAAGTATGCAAATCTTTAGAACGTCAGCCTGGAGATTCGAACGGAGGCCAATCGCATTGCAGAATATCAGGACGCTCATCGAATTTGTGGCGCACCAAGAAGAAAAACGAAATATGAATTTGAAAACATTATACGCCCAAGCCCAACAGAGCTACCTACACAATAATACATTCCGCCGATCAGATTGAGGGGTAAGACTAAAATATGCTGACAAACAAACAACGTAAAAACCTAGAGAATTTATCACGATAGAAGCTTCTTTCTTATATATTCAAACATCCTGGCCTACGTGTCTCTGTTCACTTTAGAAACCGTCTGCATTCCCCCCCCCAAAAAAAACCCCCCCCCCCCCAAAACAAAACAAACAAAAACAACAACAACAAATAAAAAAACAACAACAACAAACAACAAACAAAAACAAAACAAAACCAAAATACAACCCAAATTTTAAAAAAATCCTCCTCATAACCTGATTTAAACGGTCGTAACCTCCTCCAGAACGCACCACCAAGATTGTCTCCATGATCAGCTGCTCTAAGACCCGATGCGTTTGGCTGAAGAATTAAAAGGACCTTGTGATGGTATGGATATCCTCTTCTCACAAAGATAGGACTAGCGTCTGTTGTCGTGTAGCAGTGAGGTGCTTCGCTGTCATGCCTAAAAGACCTGCGTTCGATTCATTCTCGTGTAGAAAGAGGGGTTTTTTTCTCGGAATATCTCGGGGTTGGGGGGGGGGGTATGCTAGGGCGTTGTTGTATCCCTCTGAGCCTGAGTTGGCCCTGCAGACAGGCAGGATCGAAACAGCCCTCCTACTAAATTATCTAAATTGTGTCGATGGCAGCGTAAATCTTCTACAGTAACATTTCTTTTTTAAACAAAGGCAGACAACTTCTTTGCATTGGGATGAGGTAATAACAGATAGATTATTGAAGATTCTGGATTGATGTGATTCTCAGATAGATTTGCTTAAAGTAAGTTCAAGGTAAACTCATCTCTGCCCTATCCTGACCAGCAAACAGAATAAGTCAGAAGATAAAAACGGCAAACGGAAGGGCAGAAAGGGAGATACCAAAATACAAATATACCCGGAGTGTCGCATTGTCTTTGGAATTAGGGGAGTGTAGGAAAACTTTTTAAGGCAATAATTTTAATGCATGAAGGGAAGCTGAGAAACCAAGCTAATAGTAAATTAATAAAATCTCTGTCTTACAAACATTTCAGCAGAAAATCCGAATTATTACTAATAAGCATACTCGAAGATATTCTATCTCGAAGTCGTTTCTTAGAAATGGAATACTCAATATTTTCCGCCTAGGAAGTCCTAGAAAGACTGGGTTTTTTTGGGTTGCCCATTCACTTTCAAACTGAGCATCTTGAGTGATCTTCTCCGTATCGCCATGTCATTCCTTCACACTTCCAGTACCTATCCCTTGGAGAACGCACACACTGTCTTTTGCAAGTACATACTCGACATAAGCCCCATTTAGACGTACAGTTCGCTGATCGACAAACTGTAGGATATCGAGAGGATGACCGGCATTCTGTCAACTTCACGTGGAAACTGAGAGTGAAACGAGAAATCCTCTCGATATCGAAGGGTTCTCCGTCCAACCACCAGATATCTGGCGACGCCAGATATTTGCCGGCCGGCGAACTCAAGGAGTGATCGGGACGGGAGAGAAAATAGACCAGCTAGCGCCCACACATTATATCTGTTTGAGGGCTTAACCATCACCATCTCATCTTCCCTCCCCTTTCTCTGTCTGTCTGTCTGTCTGTCTGTCTGTCTGTCTGTCTGTCTGTGTGTGTGTGTGTC